AGTCAGAGTCAGAGATTTATAAGTCAGTCCAGTTATGATTCCTAGAAGATGTATTTCAGTCAAGTAGATAAAAATACTTGAGATTATGGATTTATGGGATTTATGAATTAAGGTATACGTTGTAGAGATTTCATTAGAAGTAGAAAAAAGAAGACATAGGTGGGTGTCAAAGACTTATAAGCGAGTCCATTTATGATTCCTTGAAGATGTTTTTCAGTCAAGTAGATAAAAATACTTGAGATTATGGATTTATGGGGTTTATGAATTAAGGAATACGTTTTAGAGGAATCAGTTGAAGAAGAAGAAGAAAAAAAAAAACATTCGTGGGATAAGGGAATTTTCGAGGAAAGTATTCACTCTCGGAGAATCCTGTGCGATGACAAGGCTTGATCGTTATTGTCAGTGTAACCGCCCAGGACGATGTGTCATACTGTCTCACACTGTCACGGGTTTAGTTTGTCGTGTCTTTGAGGAGTATTAATTACGTTAACCAACTTGCAATGGCGAATTTAATGGACTTGCTAATAGTTAGTTATGATAGTTTTTGATACATACTTCTTTAATGAGCAGAAGATTGTTTGTTTTTTTGTGTAAAAAAACGAGGAAAAATTATGCTAAGTACCCGAGGAAATGAGTTTTAAGAGAGAGAACGATCTTTGTCCATAATTAACGAATGGAAGTCATATAGCGAGTTAATGAATTTTTAAGCTAATGAGGAGGGTAATGAGGGGTAATGATCATGGTAATGTGAGTCACGGGAGGGTGTGAGGGTATGAGGATCATGGGCTGTGAGTAAAGGCGCAAATAGTTTGACTGAAGTTCTGCCAAGTGCCAAGTGGGAGCCGAAAAAGAGGGAGGGAGGGAAGGAGGGGACAGAGAGAGAGAGAGAGAGAGAGAGAGAGAGAGAGAGAGAGAGAGAGAGAGAGAGAGAGAGAGAGAGAGAGAGAGAGAGAGAGAGAGAGAGAGAAAGGAAAGAAGGAGACAAAGAGAGAGGGGGGGATAAGGAGATGGAGAGGGAGGGAGGGAGCAAGAGAGAGGGTGGGAGGGAATGAGAGGAAGGAAGGGAGGGAGGAAGGGAAAGAGGGGGAGGGAGGAAGGGAGAGGGAGGGAGGGAGGCAAGGAAAGGGAGAGAGAGAGAGAGAAAGAAAGAGAGAAGAGGGGGAGAAAGAGAGAGAGAGAGAGAGGACGTTAAATGTGACACGAGGAAAGTAAAGAATTTATTTTTTACTTTATTTTTTTTACAGGATAATCCTTTGTCAGTCAGGTATCGAGAGTTGGACTGAATTTATCAAGTGCATTTTTTTTAACTTTGCGAACTTCGTGTTTGAATTTTATGATCAGTAATTACTATAAATAATCAGAGTGTCCGTGTGCATGTGTGTGTATATATGTATATATATATATATATATATATATATATATATATATATATATATATATATGTATATATATATATGTGTGTGTGTGTGTGTGTGTGTGTGTGTGTGTGTGTGTGTGTGTGTGTGTGTGTGTGTGTGTGTGTGTGTGTGTGTGTGTGTGTGTGTGTTTCTTAGTGCGAGCGCGCGCGCGATATATATATATATATATATATATATATAATATATATATATATATATATATATATATATATACATATATATTCATATATTTATGTATACATATATATATACAATATATATATATATACATATAAACATATATATACACATATACACACACACGGACACATATATACATATATATATACACATACACACACACACGGACACATATATATACACACTTACATATATATTTGCACACACATACATATACATATGTGTGCAGCTCCATACTTTTTCAAAGCCTTACCGTGTGTGTACGCACCTGCCGCCTCGCACGTGTGTGTGTCCGCGTGCGTGCGTGCGTGTGCAGCCGTAGACCTCAGCCGGGCAGAACAGCGTCGATGGAATGGTTATGGCCTAAAAATAATCTTTGACTAATGTTCATGCCCCGGAGACGAAGCTAAAAGTGTAATGAAAATTTCCCTTGGGATTTTCTCTTCTTAAACTGGCTGACTGTTGACATTGCGCGCTAGGTTAGGACACGGTGGTGTATGGAATTATTTTCTTCATGTAGGAATTAAGAGAGGTTGTGTGTGTATACTGAGTGGGATGTTGGGTTTTCTTTTCCTTTCGCTCATTCTCATTATCGCTCTCTCTCTCTCTCTCTCTCTCTCTCTCTCTCTCTCTCTCTCTCTCTCTCTCTCTCTCTCTCTCTCTCTCTCTCTCTCTCTCTCTCTCTCTCTCTCTCTCTCCCTCCCTCCCTCCCTCCCTCCCTCCCTCCCCTCCCCTCCCCTCCCTCCCCTCCCCCTCCCCCTCCCCCTCTCTCCCTCCCCCTCCCCTCCCTCCCCTCCCCCTCTCTCCCTCCCCTCCCCCTCTCTCCTCCCCTCCCCTCTCTCCCTCCCTCCTTTTCTCTCCCTCTCCTCCTCCCTCCCCTCCCCTTCCCTTCCCTCCCTCTT